AAAACATAAGTGACAATGGTCCAAATGAGCAGTAACGGCATTTTTCCAGCCCCTCAGCTAAAACAGCCAATTCCACAACTCTCCGGCCGTCCTGCCAACTTCGACTCGCTGGTATCGGAATGCTGTTCGTCCCTGGCGCGCTGTTATTTTTCGTAGGAGAAGCCGTATGATGAGTATTACTTGCTAGGTTTACGTCGGCTTCAATATTTTCATTATCTACATTGCATAAAATGCGATTCATGGCATACACATCATTTTTAATCCCTTTAGCGCATCGAGAGGCCGAAAAAACTTCACGCGACGCCATATTGGAACAGCATAACTGCTCGAGCTTAGGGTCATTCTCCTTCCCAGAGTTCCTTGCGTTTAGATCGCGTGGTGGCAGAGATATATTCGTGATAGAACTCTGCCTGGGGAGATTGGCTTAGGGTGTCCGACTTTCAAGTGTATTCGATATCGTTGACTGAGGGCGCACTTTTACGGCGAATGCCCGCGAACGACCTTAAGTGGATGAGGGCGCACTCATAACTTTGAAATCGAAACTTACAAATACACATCTAAACTTACAAATGCAAATCTTAACATACAAATGTATATCTTAACTTACAAACTTAATATCTTAACTTACAAACTTAATATCTTAACTTACAAATGCATATCTTAACTTACAAACTAAATACATGTATCTTAACTTACAAACTTAATATCTTAACTTACAAACGTAATATCTTAACTTGCATACTTAATATCTTAACTTACAAACTTAATATCTTAACTTACAAACTTAATATCTTAATTTACAAACTTAATATCTTAACTTACAAACTTAATATCTGAACTTGCAAATGCATATCTTAACTTACAAACTTAATAAATTAACTTACAAACTTAATACAATGTATCTTAACTTACAAACTTAATATCTTAACTTACAAATGCATATCTTAACTTACAAACTTAATATCTTAACTTGCAAACTTAATATCTTAATTTTGGCGTTAATTACGCTCCATATATTGTGACGTATTTTGACCCCCGGATTCTGACCTTGCATTCTTGCCACATTTACTGCCCTTTCAAACCCGTTCAATTTCCTTTCATTATTTCATCCAGATTTCATGATATTTTATATTTAAAACCAACCTTTATTTCACAGTCACTCGAGTTTTCACTTTTCTAAAATTATCTTACTAATCAAAAGACTTTTCACTTCCATCATGCAATCTCCCATAGTACTTCCGCAGACACAGCGAAGATCGCCAACATATCTACAAATAACCTCGCTCCCAGGAGCTGAGGAATTACAACGGTCGGTGAGTTTGAGATTTTACAGTGAATTATTTTCTCATAAATCTCCAACCTTAAAAAACTTCATACAATATTTTGTAGAATCAACATGGAGATTAAATCAAGCTTCACCCCTAGTGACGATTGTCCGCATGTTTGCATAAGTACACCTCAATCGAACTTTTTTTAATAAACAGCGCCCTCAGTACACTATAACTATTATTATTCTGATAAGTAAGGGCAAGCTGACAATTATCGATTCATTGTACACCACAGCACCATGTCCTCGACGCTGTTCTTCGGATACTCAACATCCATGCTCGATGAACGAGTCTACCTTGCGTATCCAAATGCGGTGTTTCGTTCCATTGCAAAGCTACAGGTACGTTGCTAATCACTTTCTCCCGCACAAATTTAGCGTAACAGACGTGGTTGTTACATTCCACGAAGACGTGCGTGTGTACGCATTTCAGTGCACAGTATATGATATTGATAGTACCCTTTACTAGGTGCGTTACTCTGTTCTTTGTTATTCATTATAGGATTGGCCTAACAAAAGAACTGTTTTTGTCATACGTATATACAGGGTCTCCCGTTTATAATAAAAAGAACGTACGGTCAGCCCAAAAGAAATTGAATTTATTTGAATTGAATCAAATTGCCTCTCATATATCTGTGCTATGTTTTCATTTTATATAACCAATCTATATCAATACATTTAATGAGGAAATATCGCGGGTAGCGGCTATTACCGACAATATGAGAGGGTGTGCCACCAGTTCTTCCAGGCACCCACTTCTTTGTAAACCAAGTACCATAATGAATACCACTCTCACAACATTTGGTAGTTTCCATGATCTGCATAGAATTAGTACGCCATGCTGAATGGCATATGGACCACGTGTTTATTTATTTGGAAATGTAATTCTGGCTCATTATAATAGGCCAATAATTTCAGAGACGATATGAACACACAAATTGGCCCACAGTTTAATCCTGCTTGCTTGTCAGTATACGGATCATCACACCATGATATACCGTCGGTATAAAGAGAAGTGGGGTCAATGAACTATCCGACGAAGATAGCGCCTGCGTAAGATCCAAGGAAAAATGAAAATTACAAGTTGATAGATAATATGAAAGATGACTCGGAGTAAATGCACGTGACTTATTTGCAGTCTGTTGCGATTCCGATGAAACATCGCGTTCATTGCAGCATAGCGTTCGAATATAACACGTGACGCCATCGACGCGTCCGTCGTTGCCATGCCGGGAATATCGTCTGTTGAGTAAATTTACGTAAAAACAAAACACATTGGATTTTTTACTTTTTGTTGCTTCGTTTATGTGCTAAAATAGTGTATTGTCGGTATTCATACCGCCAGTTTGTTGAAATATACAAAAATTGTCGATTTTTGCATGCGCCCGGGCATGCGCCTCGCCCATTTATGCGTATGTTCTACGAATGCGTTTAGCCCTGGAATTCCCGATTCTAAAATTACCGTCAGACGCGATGCAATAATGTTTGCGCATGCGTAACCTACCTAGCAACGGACGATGGCCGTACAGAAATATAATAAGTCAAAAGAACAGCGGCAGACATGCAACCCCATTCTCCTTCCCTCCACACGCCGCCTCTGAAACACCATGATAAGACTTTTACTACGTGTATTATTTGCGTATTTGTGTTATTAGAGAGCTCTTTTTGCATTATACTAAACGCACTGTTAAGGGTGAAATAATTTACAACAGAAATTAATTTCATTGCGGAATAACTGTTACAAAGGTGTTACTCGGTTCATAAAACTGACCGTCCTGTCAATTGCCAGGCGAAGAAACATAAACAAACGAAAGCACTTCGTATTATTTACGACTAAATCGTCCTACTGCCACACCGTTTGTGCTACGGAAAGTAAAAAAATGAGTTTCTCACTTTGAAAACAGACGGAATCTACAAACAACGCGTACGCTTTCGTCGGGTTCGAAAGTCGAGCACCTGTATGGCAATCATGCATTCTCCTTCCCAGAGTTCCTTGCGGTTAGATCACCGAAAGTATATTCGTAAATAGAACTCTACCAGGGAGATTGGCAATCTTGTTTTGTTGTGCGTATTTGAAAGTAGTGCCACTGTGACGCATCGACCAATCTACGACGAGAATAAGATCACGTGGCGGCAGAGATATAGTCGAAAAAATAAAACTCTGTGTGGGAGATTGATGCAACCCCGGAAAAAGTCAGCGGCATATTTGATTTCCAGTTGAAACGGATGATTTTTCAGAGAAAATGCAGGCGGGTACGTGTGTGTGAGTAAATATGACCGTGGCATAGTTTTTCAACTCCGAAAATACTCGCAAAAAATATTACGCTATAGCAAAAGACAATTTGCATGTTCTTTTTTCTTGCTTAGGCAGAATAGTGTGCACATTTTCAGAGACTGGTACTAATTAGTTGAAAGATGATGTCAGTTTTATTTGAGGGGAATTTTTACGTTGCTAGTTGGAATTATTGATATTCGGTGTACTGCGACCCCGTATGTTTGGAACTTTCGAAATCTGCCCTACCCTCAAGTTTGTTGGCTTCAAGCCACGCAATGTGCGCATTCGTATAAACGATAAACATGCAAACGCTATCAATTCGGGAAGCGGCAATACACATAGCAGCGTGTTATTAAAGAGCTAGTGTGCATGTTATAATGAGGTGTACCGCGATTCCGTGTGTTTGGAACGTTCGAAATCTGTCCTACCCTCTAGTTTTGTTAGTTTCAGGTCACGCAATATGCGCAGTCGTATAAACAAAAAACGTGCAAACGTTATCAATTCGGAAAGCGGTAATACACATAGCACCTCCATGTACATAGCAACGTGATTTAAAGAGCTATAATGAGATTATAAGTGGTACGCTCGGGGTATTTGATAGCGGATATAGGACCTCTTTTGTGAAAATTAGCATGTTTGAGATATCATAGCACAATAACATAGTATTATTTTGCGTGTTACAGTGAGGTTTTTTGAGAAACTTGTTCTAGCTTGTGTGGACGAGAACCTAAATTCGGGTATTTTGTTAGTAGTCTTATTGTACATTTTTAAGACGCTGGTAGGAAAAGGTCAGCTAAAATATCGCTTTCGCTCTCAGGGCTAGTTTGCCACAACTTGAAGGCGCTGTATTTGCGCAACCAAGCGCACATAATATCAGAACTTATTCCTTTCGCGTCTCGGACAATAACTTTGAGTACGATTCACTCGGACGTAAATTCCGATATTTCAAGAATAACCTCAAAATGTCTCTGCCATAGGAATCTATGGTAAAAGCGTTATAAAACTGCAAAAGTAGCAACTACCAACTCATATATATATGGGTTCGAATGATCATTTATTTCCATTCAATATTGCTTTAGTTACATTTATTGCGTGTTACGCGACTCTTCGCTTACGAGTACATTAATATTTCGTGCGTCCGCGTTGGCGCCTGAGCGTTGTTACATTGTTTAAAATTTCTAGTTGGTCGCGTGCCGGTCGCGTGCGGCACTCTCTCTCTCTT